AGCAATTTCCCATAGCCTCTTTAATTATAAATATTTTTTTCCGCAGCCGCTACGGCTAATACTTTCCGAGATACAGCCGAGAGCTATTCTTAGTGGGACACCCTGTACAGGTCAGGTGATTTAAATTATCCTGTATTTCTTTGAAAATATTTTGAAAATTTTCGCTCCTGTTGCCTTTTAATAATAGAAAATCTAATAGAAAAAGCGATAGTGGTGCTTTTTCGAAATACTAGAAGACTATAATTAATAATTTATTAATAATTACAGTATTACATTAATATTTAAACGCAATAAATTGACGAAGAAGGATAGGTTAGTGCAGTTTGAGATCTGATTTAATGCTCTTTAATAGGTTTTAAAAGCTGTTTAAGATTTAAATTACCCATAGACAAGATTAAAAGCGTTGTGAAACAAACGCCATTATTAATGTCATTATTTTTATGTTGCAGAACTTGATTTTTCTGCAGCAAAAAATTAAATAAAAAAATACATCTGAGTAAGTAGGTATATGGAGAGTAATAATCTTGTCGAAAATTGCAAAAGAATATTATTTATATAACCGGTATTGCATTGTAACGATTATTTTTGACTAGGAGTTAAGTTAATTCACATCTCCATAGAAAATGGTTGGAAAATAAATTACTTTGCAGTTTTGCATCTGCTAATTAATTATTGTTTTAATTTTGCAATTTCCTGATTGTTGGCGGTTCCGTATTTGGATAGTGAATTAATAGCCTCTTTATGTATTTAAAAATAGAATAATTTATTTTCAAAAACTTAAATAAAAATACTAAGTAAAATTTTCTATTTTTTTTTGTAACCAGTGTTTAAAATTTGCAAAAAAATTTGTTAATTTTTATTATTCGAACATCGAAAAAAAATCATATGTGAATACTCCCGTTTGTGAAATAACTAAGAAATAACATAGTGTCACAGATAAAGTATAATCCCAAGTGGCACAAATGTGCTTAAAATGGTTATATACAGGGTGAGTCTCCTACGATGTTCTCTATGGGTATCTCGGAAACTACTGGAGATAGAGAGTCGGTTAAATGGGGAAAGAATTGCAGTTTTATGGGGTCATAAATATGCGCCTTTCAGAAAAAACAAATTTCGGCTATTTTAAAAATTGTCCCGAACTCCATTATAAGCTGTTTTAGACAAAAAGTTTTCAGATAAAAGTTGTAGATAATCACGTCCCTAATGAGACTGTGCCTTCCGTATTCTTCTAAAGCCTGTCATTTTTGACATATGATACAAACATATATTTTTTTAAATGGAAACCATAGTTGGCCATGACTTCATAAAAAGCGTCATTTTTTAAGTTTTTCAGCGATATAACCTAAAATATATTTTCTTCGGAAAATTACTGAGTTATAGTCAATTCTTATAATTTTTAAACAATTTCACTTAGTTAGCCATGGAAACAAGTTTAATCGTCTTTGCTCTCGGAAATGTGAAGCTGTCACATCCAAACTTTGTAAATTAAAATAAGCAAAAATTGTAAAAATTAATTTTTCAAATGCAGAAAAGCGTGTAGGATCATTGGTTCAACTTTTCTTGACCATACATTTTCGAGGATACGTTAACCGGTGAATGTTACGTTTTTTAGAGAACGGGTTTCAAGACATGTTAAAAAAGTTACATTTAGTTATAGCCAATTCTGATCTTTCTTGATTAATTTCAATTGGATTGCATGGTATTCTTATTCTATTATGATTTATAAAACTTATAAAAAGTTAGAATATATTACTAAACGGTTTCTTACAATTTACATTACACAAACTAAAACTTAAAAAATAATATCACTGCATACACTTTAAGTTATTTTAGAAAATCCGCCATTGTTTTGAGTTGCATCTTTTTGAAACTGAATTACTAACTATTCTCATAGAACCTCGTACCGCCACTTCGAGTGCCTCTCTTAATTCACAAATTCTTTTGTAAACCTTATTATTAACCATACCGCATAAAAAAAATCTAAAATGGATAAGTCAGGTGATCGAGGAGGCCCATGCAATTAGTCCACCTCTTTCTATTCCTGAGTTTGCATAATTATGATGTAAATAATTTTTAACATTTCTTTTATTATGAGGGGGGGGTCGTAATAAAAGTCATGTTGGAACCACTCTATTGATGCGTGAGTATCTACACGCTTTTCTTCATTTGAAAAATTCATATTTACAATTTTTGTTTATTTTAGTTTACAAAGTTTGAATGTGACAGCTTCACATTTCCGAGAGCAAAGACGATTAAACTTGTTTCCATGGCTAACTAAGTGAAATTGTTTAAAAATGATAAAAATTGGCTATAACTCTGTAATTTTTCGAAGAAAACATATTATAGCTTATATCGCTGAAAAGTTTAAAAAATGGCGCTTTTTATGAAGTCATGGCCAACTATGGTTTCCATTTAAAAAAACATATGTTTGTGTCATATGTCGAAAATGACAGGCTTTGGAAGAAAACGGAGGGACAGTCTCATAAAGGATGTAATTATCTACAATTTTTATCTGAAAACTTTTTGTCTAAAATAGCTTATAATGGAGTTAGGGACAATTTTTAAAATAGCCGAAATTTGTTTTTTTCGAAATATCTAGTAAGCCATGAACTTTTTCAAAAATCTGAAAGGCGCATATTTATGGCCCCACAAAACTGCAATTCTTTCCCCATTTAACCGACTCTCTATCTCCAGTAGTTTCCGAGATACCCATAGAGAACATCGTAGGAAACTCACCCTGTAGAGTGTTATATAACAATTCATGATAAATATGTACTATTTTTAAGTGCTTTATAAACTCTAATACGATAGTTATAAACACAAAAAAGGCGCAGGTTTATAAAACAATATACTTATTTAGAAGTACGTTAAAAACTCTCCGATAACGCTTTAAAAATAATATTGTGTACATTACAAAATATTTATAAAACTGTTTTATAAAAGATTTATAAATATTTTAAAAATAACATATTTGTCTCAGTTAAAATATTTTTGTAGCATGCATCTGCATTTTTGTTTTTTAGTTATCAAGAATAAAATTATAATATCGTGTATTAATGTGACCAAGATAAAACTGATTTTAAAATGGCAAAGTACACATATATTCATTTAAATGACAGATATGGCTAATTTAAAGAAAGATGTAAATTGTATAAAAAGTTTAGGCGATATCTAAAACGCTCCAGGAGTCAAATTTTCCTGCGGAGCAAATTTTACTGATGTTATATATCCATATTTGTGGAAATATTTTAAGGCGCTTTCATTTTAATAAGATTTTGCAGTTATAATAAATATTTAATTTTTAGGAAATTACTGCAAAATTACCTGTAAACTGGAAAATCGACATTGTCCAATATCCGATATTATTGGAAACTAATTCGTTTCTTATAAATACGTTTATTTTGAATTAAATTTCGATTATTTTGTTTTGCAAATCCCGACTCGATAAAATAGCCGACATACAGTCGTCCAAATTCAACATAAAATCATAGCGTCGACTAGCAAAACATTTTTGTTGCTCAGAAAGACATTTTAAAAAATTTAAATTTTCGTCGATTTTTCTACGGCCAAATAATTAGAAAAAAAATACATAATTAAACACGAATTTGACTTTTAATAATTATACTTGCAGACTTTATTTTTATTCTGGCAACATTGGATGACTTTCTTTCCTTCACCTTTTAGATAGGAACGCCACAGAATAATAACGTAGAAATGGGCCTCATTACTATGTAGTCGAACCGGGTTTTAATATAGCAATATTATTGCACTTCACGTGTTATCCCGCTATTTCAAAACCTGATTATTTTTTATTCATTTTGCTTATGTTATTTATTTTTTGAAAGCTACACTTAGACACAAATATTATGTTTAATATCAAAAATAAAATCTTCCAGTTAGAAATACTTGACATTTTAAGTTTTAGAGATAAAATTACAATTTTAAAATTACATTTTAAACTCTGACCAAAACCAAAGTTTGAGGTTAGTGCTATAGTATGTTTATAAGGTTTCCTAAATAACATTTTTGTATTTGGTGAAACACTTTTGTTTTTTAATCGCTTTATAAGAATTTTAATTCTTTCTTTAACAGCAATTATAAAATTGTTTTCTTAGAGTAGCGGTCGCGACTAAATTATTGCGAAGACCAAATTGTTTTATAAATCAGTCGTAAAAACAGCTATAAAACATGTCGATAATGTTTTAATAAACTAAAATGCATATTTTTATAGTTTTAATAAATCGTATATAAAACACTTTACTCTCATAATAATTTATTGTGCTACTTGGGATATCTCTCATATGAGATTAATATTTTTAACCGATTTTGGTGAAATATTACTTGGCCAATCCTTGGCAACAATTTCTGCTTTCAATTTTAATTAAAGATAATGAGTTTTAATTTTTTTTTCTACTAATTATACTTCAAAAATTGCAATTAATATCATTTTGTCCTTTGACATCATCTGTCAAAAAGGTTGAAGTGATTAGAAAGAAAAAAGTATAGTGTTCTACAAGCTAATAGTTAGGCTTTGCCTATGGATACAACACACAACTAACTAACGTAAGCTGTTGCTAGGATAGTTCATTAACATTAATTATATTTTTTAGACATTGAGAGTGATCGTAAACGTCGTAAACTCTTAAGTATAAAGAATAATTGAAACCACTAATTTATTCCATGAATTTCGAGGTTCTGAATGAAGCTTTAACCTAGATGATATTCTTCAGAGATCGTGTTCTGTAATAATAAAAATTTAAGGTAACTCATAGACACCGAATATAAAACAATAACGAAAGTTAGAAACAGAATACAACTTAAATGTTTTAAAAAAAGGGATATTCTTCTAAAATATTAGAATTATATCTAAATAATTTTTCATTTATCTCTTGAAGTTGCACATTCTAAAATTTATGAACATTACATTTTGTCATTTAAACTGGGCTTCCAATTGAGTTATCATAGGTAGGTACACTAGATGTAGTAGTAAAAAAGCATACCTTCTAAAATAGGACCTGAGTTTCCATATAATTCTAAATTTAAACTATAAAATTGTTCCGATTTGGAACAATCTACTTCGTCTATCCTTTCGCATACTCTCGTTTCCTAAAAATTAAAAATATGGTTAGTTAATATTAATAATATAAAAAACAATAATTTTATACAGGGTGAGTCTTAAAAAAGTGCAATTTTTTTTTCGCTTTTTTTTTTAATTGAAAATTTAGAATTAAGTATCCATAATATGGCAACATAGGTATTAGATTAAATTTACAAGAAATAAACCCCAGAAAAAATTCAGTGGTTCTCAAAATTTAAGCAAAAAATCACTTTTTGAAATTTACAAAGTTAAATACCTCGGTTATTTTGGACTTATTTGAAAAACGGTAAAGAGAAAATATATGTTTCTTTTATCGAGATCTACCAGTCCTATTTGCACTTATTTAATACTCACTCTGTATAGAGTTAAGCAGAATATAAAATATAATTGTTAAATAAAGTAATCTTGTTTAATCTATTTCTGTTTGTTCTTTGAAAAATAGGTGGCTGAAGCAGTGGCCGACTAAGCCTGTCGGGAGCCCTGGGCGGCGAAGCTAAATGTGGCCCCCGGTCTGTTCAGATAACGATATACTTCTAATGCACATTTTGTAAGAAATCAATGACGTATGTATCATGGTTGACAAAATTCAAGTATTTATACAGGTTGTCCCAGGCTAAGCCTGCATTAGAAGTTTCTAGAGAACTAAAATATCTATATCCGAGATTTTTTGCACATCATTGTTTCACAATGAGATCTATGGATTAAAAATATTTTCAATACGGAAGTACCGGAAGTTGACAGCAACTTTCTTATTTTAAATGGGTGCCCCCATTTCTTATTACATACTTAAATTCTCAGTAAAATTTTATGAATTTTGATATTAAACACTGTATACTTAACGTTAACCGTTTTTGAGAAAAAAATATATAATTTTTGGAGGAAAAAAACTGCCTGCCAAAAATATGTATATAGCCTAAACGTCAAATTTGGTGATTGCCACAGCAACTGTACCATAAAGAGAAGACATGTGGCTATTTATTTCAAAAATTAAATTGTCCGAATGTCATATAATAATGCCCGCAGCTGTCATGGAATTGAGCGATTAAAAAATTATCATAAATTATTTCTTTCAAATGAAAATCCACTTTTTTTTATTTCACTAGTGAAAAGGTTTTTCAATTCGTTACTTTTTGAGTATACATGTTCCTGTACCTAAAATAAATCGTTTTTAAGTTATCTAAGATTTAGTTTTAAAGCCTATATTTTTCTTGATTTTAACAAGTAGCCTATGACAGTATATTATCGATCATTATTTCCAAGCCAACTATGCGCTGTTTTTTTTCGATCATACGGTATATTATTAAAATATCAACTATTAGGTATCATTAAAGAGCGAAAATACGAGATATATTTATATAAATACACATTTTAAACTTTTAAGCAGTAGTATTTATTATATAGGAAATTCAAATAATTCGTTTTCTGACAGATGGAAATAAATTGTCTGACTGTTTGACACTTAATATCAAAGAAAGCTAGATAAAATCAAGAAAAATATACGTTTTCAAACTAAATCTTAAATAACTTTAAAACGATTTATTTTAGGTATAGGAATATGTATAGTTAAAACGTAACGAATTGAAGAACCTTTTCACTAGTGAAATCAAAAAAGTGGGTTTCTATTTGAAAAAAATGATTTATGATAATTTTTTAATCGCTCAATTCCATAACAGCTACCGCCATTATTATATGACATTTAAACAAATTAATTTTTGAATTAGATAGTCCACGCCTTTTCTTTATGTCACAGTGGCTATGATAACCACTAAATTTAACTTAATCTTGACAGGTAGTTTATTTTGGTCCAAAAATTTTAAATATTTTTTTCTAACAATGTTTAACATCAATATTCATAGAATTTTACAGAGAATTTAAGTATGTAATAAAAAATGGGGGCACCCATTTAAAATAAGAAAGTTGCTTTCAACTTCAGGTATTTCCGGAGGTGTCGCCATGTTGATTATATTTTTAATCGATAGATCTTGTAAAACAATGATGTGCAAAAAACCTTCGATCTAGATATTGTGGTTCTCTAGAAACTTCTAATGCACGCTCAGCCTGGACACCCTGGATACTGAAATAATTATAATAAAAATCGATATAGATTTAAATATGTTACCTACTCATCAGCAGTGCCGTCTTAACGTAGGAACCTGATGGGCTCTGGCCCCCGGAGTATTAAGAGCCCCAGTTCTAAAGAGGCATCAAAAACGATAACATCAATTTTTTAAAACTTATAATAATATTTTTAAATCGAAAAACGAATGCAATTTGATATAATAAAACAAGCAAGTGCAAAAGTAAAGTGTTTTGGTATATTGTGGTGAATTAGTGTTTTATTTTGCCCTGGTAACACCAAAGGTTCCAACCTCAACTGTAATAAATTAGAGGTATTAAATTATTGAACATAATTTTGCTAACGAGCCATATACTACCATTCATGGGCCATGCAGTACTAGATCGGGAAATCTCCGAGCGAATGTTCGCATGTATTTAATGGCAACTTATGATGACAAAGTGATGGAAATACCGGTTCCACAAATGAGCCGCGTTACTTTCGCGACCGTTCCAGGAAAATACCGCGACAAAATTTCGCGATTTTGTAAGTCCTCCAAGATCCGAGGGGCTCCTTTGCTGTCTCAGACCCGTAGCCCCCGTTATACTAAAGACGGCACTGCTCATCATCGGTAAAGAAGCTAGAATACAAGTTATGCTGTGCATTGGTTGTAATTTAAAATGTTTATTCAGTAAAAATAAATAATGAAACCATTGAAAAATAACTTAAAAGCTAAAATAAATAAATTCAGTCTCAAAATATATAAAATAATAATAATTATTCGATATTTTAAACAAAGAAAATTAACCCTTGATTTAATTCTTAAATAGAAAATGCCATTGACAATTACTGGGGCCTGATAATTGTTAATTAAATAAATATCTTCTTCCATTTATACTGTTTATAGTTTGCGTATACGTATGGTTTGCATACTCTACCTACAAACTACTTCATAACTACTGAACACATATTGGCCTTGTTTGTCAGTTGAAGAAAAATTACTTATTAAGATTCGGAGGCCCCCTAAAAGACGGGGCCCGGGGCGGACCGCCCCTTCAACTATGCCGCCCCGTTCCTACCATGAACAAATGTACAACTTGAACCATTATCTGTGACTAAACAATTTGTATAGCTTATTTGATTTTGAGAATATTCCGAGGTCATTAGTTTGAACTCTGATCTGATGAAGCCATGAGTAAACTGATGTTTATCCAAAGAAAGCATTGTTTTGCAAATATATGGAGAAGAAGAAATCCATGGGGATTAGTTAGGGGATTTATTCTGGAGGCTCAAAACATCATATAGTGTAATAATCTTAAGTATCTTCGGCCTGAGCCTAGATCTCTTTTATTCCTGGCAGATGAAACTGACTAGGTAGACAGAAAAAGGATTTGTGGGTGGGAACATATGGACGTAAGAACAAAAAAAAGGCATAGTAAAGGAGAAGTAAAAGACGACGATATTTAAGAGAAGGAGTTTCAGAGAGACAGAGCTGGGGGTTAGGAATGTTTTAAATTCATTAAAATCTAGTATATTTGAAGATGAATTTAGGAAAATGTATTCTAGTATGCTACAAAATAGTTTTTTTAATAAAATTATGAATAATTGATTTTATGATTGATAATAAGTAAAAACGAGATATCTTGATGTAATTCAATAATAATATTTAAATATGTTACCTGGTCAAAAACCGTGCCGTTTAAACAGAGAAAACGTATGTCCATGGGTTCGTCTAGTTGGCCTATCGTACAAACGTGAAACATCTGACAGTTCGTCTCCAAATCTGCGTAGTATCCGCCGATGACTTTTCCGACGCAAGTGAAATTCGTTTCCGGCAGATTGTCAAAATCCAAATACTGAAAAAAATAGCAAAATAAATATGGAGTCTTAATTATTAATGTAAATATCAAAAAAAAACTTTAAAAATGTATATCATAAAGCAACATTAACTATAATTATAATTAAAATATGTAAATAAAAAGTTGGTAGGCAGTGCTTTTAGTTTCAAAGTAAAGGAATTTTTCCAATTTTTTTTATCTGCAAAAACTGCGACTTTGACTGATTTTGATGTTATAACAAATTTTGTTGCAAATATTATTCCTAATCTTCAATTGAAAACCGTGTTTCGCTAGCTACTGTAATTTTGAAGTAACGATTTTTTTAAATTTTTAACCCCCTCCCAGACAGACAGACAGACAGACAGACAGACAGACAGACAGACAGACAGACAGACAGACAGACAGACAGACAGACAGACAGACAGACAGACAGACAGACAGACAGACAGACAGACAGACAGACAGACAGACAGACAGACAGACAGACAGACAGACAGACAGACAGACAGACAGACAGACAGACAGACAGACAGACAGACAGACAGACAGACAGACAGACAGACAGACAGACAGACAGACAGACAGACAGACAGACAGACAGACAGACAGACAGACAGACAGACAGACAGACAGACAGACAGACAGACAGACAGACGAGACAGACAGACAGACAGACAGACAGACAGACAGACAGACAGACAGACAGACAGACAGACAGACAGACAGACAGACAGACAGACAGACAGACAGACAGACAGACAGACAGACAGACAGACAGACAGACAGACAGACAGACAGACAGACAGACAGACAGACAGACAGACAGACAGACAGACAGACAGACAGACAGACAGACAGACAGACAGACAGACAGACAGACAGGCAGACAGGCAGACAGGCAGACAGGCAGACAGGCAGACAGGCAGACAGGCAGACAGGCAGACAGGCAGACAGGCAGACAGGCAGACAGGCAGACAGGCAGACAGGCAGACAGGCAGACAGGCAGACAGGCAGACAGGCAGACAGGCAGACAGGCAGACAGGCAGACAGGCAGACAGGCAGACAGACAGACAGACAGACAGACAGACAGACAGACAGACAGACAGACAGACAGACAGACAGACAGACAGACAGACAGACAGACAGACAGACAGACAGACAGACAGACAGACAGACAGACAGACAGACAGACAGACAGACAGACAGACAGACAGACAGACAGACAGACAGACAGACAGACAGACAGACAGACAGACAGACAGACAGACAGACAGACAGACAGACAGACACCATGGAAATATTTTGTATTTAGGTAATAATAACTCATTTAGAGTAAAATTAAAAAAAAATTGCCGATCTTAATAGCTTACCATACCTGTTGGTATGGTCGGCTAAAAATACTTGACTGTCGTAAACAAAGTTTCATTTTAAAAGAAATTTATATTAGGTGGGCAACATCCATTGTCTTTTATTTTAATTGCTTTATCACTCAACGCTATAATAATTTGATATTAATAGCTACACAATTTATATACGAGTTGTAGTTAGTAAACACGATAGAATCATCCATCGTGAGATTGTGTTTTTTTTTTAGAAAAGGTTTCCAAGCCATTGGTATTTAAATTTTTGATTTGCTGAAAGGGTTTAGAATAGAATATTTAAGATAATTTAGCTTCAAGAGGTTATTTATTATAAATGCAATAAAAAAAGAAAAATAATATTGAATAAAAAGTTTAAAAAATTATAATAAAAAATAAATTCATATAAAGCATATCATGCCTGGAATAAAAATATAAGATAATCTTTGTGGGTATCCTTTAAATTACTCACCTAAGATTATAAATCTTTTCCTTTTAACAGGAAATCTAAGGAGTCGCTACTAATATTAAAATTAAAATTATTAAACTGCACAAATAAATAAATTCATATCAAGCACTTGCTATTTAATAATATATACGGTTATTGAATTTTCATGATCTTATTTATAAAGATTATTACAGTAGACGTAAAATAGCCGCTATTTTATGTACATACTTGTGTCATTTATAACATTAATGGTATTTTATAGGTATTTACATATGAATTTCTTGATATTACATAAGATTGGATAATAAGTAATAAAAATCGTTATATATAAAATTATTGTTGTGATTTGTTTATACTTTATTTCTCAAATTGCATTTTTTTTCCAAATTTTTTCATGCTTTTTGTTGCATATTTTTATAAGTAATATTTTACATATATTATATACTGTTCTATTAGTGGGATGACACTTTATTTTAACAATAGTTTTTCACTAGCTTGCCCAATAAGGCATCCGTTGCATTTCATTGATGCATTCCATATAAACTAATTGCAAGATCTGTAAGATGATTCATGTTCAGTCGCACGTAGGACTCGATCAAACCTACTTGAATGGAAAATTAACTTAATAAACATGTGCAATTAGAGAATGTTAATACTGTTATACCTTAGAATAATTCAAAACAAATTATTATATTGACTTTTGAATTAATATTCAGCTATCCGCATTTCTTGAAAGTGACTAAAATGTATAGAAAACTTATCAAATTTGTTGTTGTCTTTGGAAAAAATTTGAAAAAAATATACAGGAAAAAATGCATTTTCTAATCACAAAAAAGGCCAAAATTTATTTAGTTCAATGCTACGGGAAGGATCATAAGAGTTATCAAAGAATGTTATACTTTAACAGCAGCACAAAATATGATGTTAATCAGAATTAATAATAACAATCTATCTAAAAATGAAGTCGAAATTATATTACCATAGCGTTTTGATTTTTAGAAAAAGTTCAACCATATTTTTATGTTTTTTTATAATTTTCTCTAAAACGGTATGGAAATAAATTATGTGATTAAGTACCAAACAAACCCTCTTACTTGTTAAATAAATAAATGTCACATAATAACGCTTAGAATAATCTTCATAATGGAGTAGTTTTTGCCAATTTGTAATAATAGTACGAGAGCTAGCAACATCGGAAAAAAAGTATTTTAAAACGTCTGGCTCTTTGATATATCTTTTACTACGCTCTCTAGAACAGCATGCGGCTCATCTGGCTGCCGGTAAACGTTGCAGGGCAAAAATATTTTATTTTCGTTTATATTCTGGTAGTAAAGTATTAAATATTTGATTTTTTTTTAATTACCAGAATTATTTAATACTTTACTATCAGAAAATAAACGAAAATAAAATAAAAATGTCTTTGACCTGACCCGGATGGTCGGAAACTCTACGCACTGCGCTATGGAGACATGTTCGATTTATATTCAATACTAGAATTTATAGGACTAAATTAATAAAAAAATATAGGATCTTCTTCGGATGCGCAGTAGTGAACGCAACGGGTATCGGCAGCCAGACGGGCTGCATGCTGTTCCAGAGAGCATAGTAAAAGACATATCAAAGAGCCAGACGTCCTAAAATACTTTCTCGAAAACGTTGCTAGCTCTTAGACTATAAGTAAAATATGCTATAAAACAAAGTCACTTTTAAATTAAGATTCATCTCATAAATCCATCACAATCTGGCAGCGCTGTCGCCACCGCTTGTTACTCAAAATTGATCACGTGCATCGGAAATTGTTTTGCGATTACCGTAGATAGTTATTTGACTGAAATGATAAATTTGGGAACTTTTCATATTTTTAAATTAATCATAAATTTTTTTTCGTAAAGATGATGATTAAACAGTTTTTGTTGAACTTTTGGGACAAAAACATTTCAAATTTATGATTTCAGTCTAATAACTATTTAGTCAACATATTTAATATATGTCAATGGTGACAGGTATTGGTAATTTCGATTCCAAATATCTCGAGAACCATTACTCGTAGCAATTTTTACCAAGATACCTTTTTTTACGTAAAAAATGTCGTAAATACATATTTTTTTACTCGGTAGTTAGTTTTATACAGGTACGAACGAAAAGTTATTATACTCTTCAAACCAGTTAAAAATATGCAGGTGGCGCCCTCTACAAATAGGAGTCACATTGAAATCTAAATCAAATTTTTTATGTCAAAAAACTTCCAGACACACGGGAAAAAAGCTAAACTGGCTTAAAGATTATTAATCTTGAACCAACGATATGCTAGTTTCCCCATTCCGCAAATCTAGTTATACTTCTTTTCAAGAAAACCTTATCCTTAGAAGTTAAGAAAATTTATCTTTTATTTAAGATTTACCTAGTATTGAAATTAAGATTATAACTACACTCCAGACAATTCGAGATAAAATCTTGTTTCGAGTACTACTTATACTTATTTGTAAATTAGCAAATTATTGCATTAAGTATAGAAATTCTTTGTGTACATGTAATAATTACTTTATTCAAGTGTAATATCAACTACTATAAAATAAAGCCTCTTCTTACTTTTAGGTTAGTTACTAGACGCGCCGACTAGGTAGTTTATAAAATTATAAAGTTTTTTTGTTATCGTTTGTTCTTGTGATATGTGAAAATGGAGGACCTTCTTCAGGCATGGGGGATGACGATTTGATCCCAAAATTTCAAGGTAAGTTTAGCAATAATCCTACATTATTTGATGACATTGGTTTGAGGTTAGGGGGACTCCATTTTAATATGCATTATTTCGTATACACTGGTGGTAAACTAGGTATGTACGCGTTTGGAATGATTCAATTATGTTTTAACAATTTTTATTATTGTCTCTCGTTTTTAATTAGCGATGCCGCTGTCCAATATCTACCTATATTGGGAAATTACACAGTTTTATTGTATTTTCTTATTACGAAAAGCATATAATTTGGTAGGTGATGTTTGGTTAATCTAATTTAAAAAGTATTAACCATATTCGGGGTTATTCTGGTGATATTTCAAAATTCCATACCTATTGTAAATGAAAATTAAGAAAAGATTCTACCAAAACAAGAGTTTCTAACAAGATCGAACCCGAACCTCCGAAAGCATAGGGAACACACCGAATTTTGTGAGAACTATATAGTTTTTCGATCCCGGTTAATATTCGTCCTAAG